TTAAAAAGCAGACATTTCTAGAAGAGTGGGAAGGAGACCTTCAAAGCTAGTCAACAACACAGATCCAATTATGGAATAAGGGAAAAATAAGGGCAGGAAATTGTAGTCAAAAGATTGAGGAAAAGCAGACAAACCTGCCCGGGAGAAAGAATATAACAAAGGTGCGTACGAGATCTTGGCCATGTCAGGCTGTCCCAGTCAGCTACCATGGGTCTGAGGAAAAGGCACTCAAGTACTATGATTCACGGGCTCCATTCTATACACACACACACACACACACACACACACACACACACACACACACACACACACAGTGTTCAGCTCTTCTTTTTGCTCCACCCAGCCAAGCACTTTGCAAGCCCAGAACCACAAATCTCCTGTAGTTCTGCAGGAAAGGGTTGCTGCAGAGATGGTATGCCTACACAGATACACGCAGGTGAGCAGGTGGCCATGTGATGGCCAGAAACTTCTACCTCCACCCTGCCACTATATCCAGAGCAGAGGGCTCCAAGTGGGCTGAACCCAAGAAAAGTTCACTGAGAAAATGCTATGGAGAGGCCTTTTCAGAAAAGAATGTTTCAAAGTGTTTCCATTGTTTAGGTCATGTTTTGGCAAAAATCATGTGAGGGTGTTACTCAAACAAACTTGGAAATGCTTTTATAATTTGTTCAAGTTTCCAAATAAAGAGTTTCAGTGTTTTAAAGCCTTTGGTTAAAATTATAAAACTCTTAACACATTTTGATTAGTTTGAATGGCCTGCCATCAGAGAAGATGGAAATTCACTAGCCAGATTTCAACAAAGCCTTCTGTCTAACTGGTGAACAAAAGTGCATACTGGGCATCATGACTTAGTGTGATCGGTAGTGTTTTTCCTCCATGTAGTTACTAGGTTTGAGAAGCTACCTTTTTTTTTTTTTTTTTTTTTTCAGTTGTGAGAGTGCATCAAAACCAAGTCTCAGTCCGACATTAGTGGGTGCATGTCAGTAATCTCAGCAACTCGGGAGGGTGAGGCAATAGATCACCAATTTGAGGCCAGTCTCAGTAACTTAGTGAGATTTGTCAAAAAAATAAAAAGGGCTGGGGATTTAGCCCAGGGGAAGAGTGCACCTGGGTTCAATCCCCAGTAATGCAAAATCACCATCAAATCACCAACTATCATATTAAGTTGAACTAGAAAATTGGCATCTGAATTAGTAGATCACAGTCTTAAAACATTTAAAATGATGTCCTTAAAAAAAGACTGGATAGGGCTGGGCATGGTGGCGCACACCTGTAATCCCAGAAACTTGGGAGGCTGAGGCAGGAGGATTGCAAGTTCAAAGGCAGCCTCAGCAACTTAGCAATTCAGTGAGATCCTGTCTCTAAATAAAATATAAAAAGGGCTGGGGGTGTGGATCAGAGGTTTTGTGCCCCAGGGTTCAATCCGAAGTACCAAAAAAAAAAAAAAAAAAAGGGACTGCATAGGGCTTGGGATTAGGGCTCAGTGGTAGAACACTTACCTAGCATGGGCAAAGGCCCGGATTTAATCCTCAGCACCACAAAACAAAACCCAAACCCTCAGCAGATAGCAACATTATTTTTAAACAATTTATTTTACTTCATTCAAAACTTCTAGTATAATTTAGTTATGCACAAATTTATTAATAAACATACACATGGTGATGTAAGTCCAAACACTTTCCTATTAGGGTTCGCAACCCAAACGGGTGATTAATTGGTTCACAGGTTTTTCTAAAAAGGCCTTTATCTACTCAGAGCCTTCTATTTTAGTGTTATTAATTTAGATGGTCTAAAAAATTACCACTGTAGCTGCTCCACAGCAGAACACTTATTCCCTAATCATTCCAATAATTTCTAGAGACGACAGCGCAAAACTCGACATAGTGGAAGGGCTCCCTTCTCTACAACTAAAGGCAATTCTGTGTTATTTTTCTTCTAAAAACATTTCAATGAAAACATTTTTCAATGTTCAAAGACAACAAATACGAATCCAGAACAAAGAGCGCCTCTAATGGATAAACGTAGCTGATTAAGTGAGATCCTCTGGCAGCATCTCTCTGCCCTGGAATCCACTCATGGGGGGACTCACTGGAGAATCCCCCAGTTTTTAACTCAGGTAAATCAAAGGCATTATAAGCACCTTCAAGAGTGACCAGATATGAACTCCTTATGGAACAGAAAACCCTGTGAACATGAAGCAGCTCTGTCTCTTTTTAAAATTTGTTACACATGATAGACTGTATTTTGACATATCATACATATATGGAGTATATAACTTCTCATTCTTCTGGTTGTACGTGATGTAGAATTACACTGGTCATGTAATCATATATGCATATAGGACAGTAATGTCTAATCCATTCTACTATCTTTCCTAAAATAAAGATACTGTATGCCCATCTACAACTAAAATTTTTTTAAAAAATTTAAATATTTTAAAATTGAAATAGACTGAGATTAAAATTGGGTGGTGTCCACTGTTGGGCAGATAGTAGAGCAGGGGTCTACTCTGGTCCTATAGCCAACCTTTCTGATCTTGACTTAGCTCGTCCTATACAAAATGAGATGGGAGCCAATTCTCTAGTATGCAGAGATAGGTTCCCTTCAGCTTCCCTAGTCCAAGATTATTTTGAGCCATAATAAACCCTTAAAGCAGAGTTTAGACTTAAGCATGGTTTGTAAATTATTGTACCACATGGAACATTTCTGGATTTTCATTTAAAGAATATTTGGTGACACCAGGCAGAAGGGATCAGATGAAGGGTGGCAGGGAGTCTGGGAGCAGCCTGGGTTTTCTGTGGTTTTTCATCTCCAGTATTGCACCATCAATGGCAAAAACCACCTATGAATCTGAACTCTATGAAATATTAATCATATACACTTTGATGAAGGGCCTCTGTATGATGCATCTTACATGTATGCTGACATTCAAATTAGATGTTCCAAAGTAAACCACAGCCATTTGTACCATGTCAACTTGGTTAATTCAGAACCACGTTTCCCAGAGTCCCATTTTCTGATGGTTCCAAATGAGGACTGGCTCCAAAATGTGCTGGTGTGAGCTCTGGAAGGCAAAAGGGAAGCAAGCCATTTTCCTCAAATGGCCATTTGTTGTCCAGCGTGCCTGGTCCATTCCACTGTGGCCTTTCCTCTGCTGCTTCACTTTCACCTTTGCTTTCCAAGTGTTGACCTAGGCTGGCCCCAGATCCCTGGCTATACACCCACCAGGCGATCACTTTGGCATCAGCTTCCCACAGAACTCCATGCCTCCTACCAGGCCCCCATCAGCAGCTGGCTGTGCTTTGCATCTCAGCTGGATTAACTCGTGACTTCTCTTGATTCCCACAGCTCCTTCTGGATTTTCACTCTTGGGTTTGGTCTAATTCTTGTAACAAAATCCAAATCCCTCAGCCCCCCACCCCCAGCAACTCTTCTCTGTTCCCCAATCAAACCAGACACACAAGCCTGCAAATAGATTCAGCTCTTCTATCTATATGTAACTCCTAAGAGGGAAGCAAGCTGAGTGTTCTCCAGCTGCATCCAAGCCCTATGTAGTATGTTCTTCCTGAGGGCTCATAATGTCTAGTGTAAGAGGCACAAATGATATCTAAAGACAGGACTTGCAGTGCATGTGTGTGTGTGCATATAGTTATGTTGGGAGAATTAAAACATGTCCTTAAAATCTGCCTCCAAGGGCTGGGGATGTGGCTCAAGCGGTAGCGCGCTCGCCTGGCATGCGTGCGGCCCGGGTTCGATCCTCAGCACCACATACTAACAAAGATGTTGTGTCCACCAAAAACTAAAAATAAATAATAAAAATTCTCTCTCTCTCTCTCTCTCTCTCTCTCTCTCTCTCTCTCTCTCTCCTCTCTCACTCTCTTTGAAAAAAAAAAAAAATTGGACCAAAGACCTAAGTTTAAAAAAAAAAAAAAAAAAAAATCTGCCTCCAAAAATCTTCACATTGACCTGAGTTGCCTCTATCTTTCTTTGCTAAGTTCCAGGCTGACTGTTCAATCTACACCCACAGGCTTGTGTTAATGGTGTTATTGCCCAATGCAATCTTGGAACAGCACTCACTGTCACATACACCTGGTGGAGCTGGTTCTCATCTGTGCTAATATCCATGCCCTGTGTAGGTGTCATAATACCACAACACCTGGGTAACAATGTGACAGTTAACATTCATATTGGACACAGGTATGCATGAGGCACTCCTGGGCTGCAAACCAAAGCTGCAAAGTTAAAAAGAACAAACACCGTAAAAACACAGGCATAGGTTATTTATTGTTTTATTGCTTTCTTATTTCTTAATGCAGAGTCAATATTTTTGAATAAGGGTAGTAAGATGTCCAAAATTCAACATTATGAAACATTCAAATAGTAAAATATGATGTGGAAAGAAGCTCTCGTTCCTCCGAGCTATCCAGTGGAACCACTTGGGATAGCAGCTTCTAGACTTTACTGTGTCATCTTGGTAAACCATGACTCAAAGGAACATGAGAACCACTATTCTCTGATCCAGGGGAACAGAAAGGAGTCTCAAATGCCAACCAACCATTCAGGCACAGGGGACAGCATTTTGGTCTCCCTTTGAAATGGCCAGGAGATTCAAACGACTCCAACTATAGCAATCCCTCCTTTCATCCGGGACTTAAAAGAGACTCCACCACCACGAGAGTCAAAAGAAACTCCCAAGAAACATAAGACAGACCAGAAATGATTCTGCTGTCAGGGAAGTGAGCTGTGCCCGCACAGTTCTTCTCTAATTCTTCGTAAGAAAACAACCCATTCTGAGAGCACAGGGGAGGGGACGTACACAGTGACCAGCTGAAACCAGGGCAGCTAGGAGCAGCATTTTGCTTGAAGGCACGGGTCCTCATCATCCTGAGGGAGGGAGTTGCTGCTGGGTTCTGAATTCTGTTCAAAACACATGTTCTACCTCTGGAAAACTGTCAGCTGCCATACATCTGATTGCAAGTTCAGACCCATCTTTTTTTTTAAAGTCCCAGAATCTTGGACACCCCTAAAAATCTCAATGTGCCCTGTCTTTCTGCAAGGAACTAGATATCCAAGGGGTGGAAAGAACTCAAAAGAGTTCAAAAAGACATGACTCCAAGGAACACATGGCTGCAGTACATCACACAATAGGAAAGGACAAATACATGACTCCATAGTATGAAATGCAACCTCCACGAAAAGCAAACACCTCGGGCTGCACCACTGCGGGCCACATGCCAGCCACACAGCTGGAGTCTAAACACTGGTGATCTCCCTGAAAATATTATCTACCATGACTTTGATCACCCACACTTAAAAGACCAGCAAATTTGTATGGAAACACTCAATTTCTTTAAAAAGACAAACTTCCTTAAATACCAAGGATAGCAGCCAGGTTTACTTAAAAGTGATCAAGATGTCCAATTTAAATAAATCAATTTCAGTCCTTCCCTAGGGTCATCTTAGGTTTCCATGATAAGAATAGACAAGGGCCAACTGTACCTCACGGGTGTGGTCACGCAAACCCTCTCTTGAATAACAGACTCACACTCTGCCTGAGGAATCATCTTTGAGCCTCTCCTGCTTCTGGAACCCAGTATTACAAATGCTCTTTACAACATAGTGCTACTCAAAGAGGAAATAACCAGGAAAAGTAAAGGTGCATTTATTCACGTCCATGCCATCTAAAGCTACTGAGTACAGTAATCAAGCTGGAGAAGGGACAAATCACAACCTAAAACAATAAAAAAAAAAAACTGGGATGTGGGCCCTCTATATTGCAAGTTTGAGCTCAAAAGAATCTGCATGTTGGCAAGCCAGTTTCCTCCCTGAGAAGTTTGCTTCACGCTTTGTTTTCTCCCTCCAGCATCTTCTGTCTCTCCTAGTTAAGGCCTGGACAGTGTTGGGATAGTGTACAATTTCTCCGGAACCATTAGTCCCCCGAGGTCTCGGGCTGGGTGCAGTCTGGCTCCCTAGTGCCTGGCTCTGCAGGTTGCCTCCGCAGCTCCTCCACCACCTGAAGCAAGGCGGACCTCTCCAGCTCCAGAGCCAACATGGCCTGCTTCAGCTTGCTCTCACTGGTCAGGAGCTTCTCTACTGTGGCTTCGAGGCTCTGGATCCTACCATTTGCCATCTGGAGAACAGAAGGAGAAATAAGAAGGCACCTGCCCATGGTAACACAGGTGAGGCCGCTGTGCACTCAGCTGCTGCCCAGTCTTGAGAGCACTTTGGAGCCGTGTCTTGGCAGAGACAAGCCTATGGCTGACTATCAGTTCTGGCCACAAAGGAAGCCATTTTTTTTTCAGCTTCCCTTGCAGGCAAGCTGGGCAGGCCCCCACAAACACCAGAGAGCCTCTAGCACTTTCTTCCCTGCTTTATTTACTCTGTGTGCCAGCTAATGAGAAGGTTGCATAGTACTGGAGGAAACCTGACCCCCTTGACTGTAGGGAGGACAGGAAGACACAGCCAAAGAACCCTTCAGGGGAAGGAGGAGAGTTCAGGGACACCCAGACTTCTTGTGCGGGGCGGCTGAGAGGGGAGCTTTATATATGACTTGACCACAGCCTGGCCTATTCTGACTAATACTACGTATAATACTAATACTAATATAGCTACAGGTACAAACTGATTCCACACTGACAAATGGTCAAAATGGCTTCCACGTGATGGTCAGAGTACTAAGCTCTCTAACCAAAAATATTTTCTTTAGGTATTGAAAGAATTGAACGCAGGGGCGCTTAAACACTGAGCTTAAACACCATATAAAATAAATAAAAGGAATTGAACGCAGGGGAGCTTAACCACTGAGCCATATCCCCAGCCTTGTTCTTTTTTTTTTTTTTTTCCTGGAGACAGGTCCTCACTAAATTGCTGAGGCTGGCTTTGAATTCCAATTCTCCTGCCTCAGCTTCCGGAGTTCCTGGGATTATAGGTGTGCATTACCATGCCTGGCTTTCTTTTCTATTTTCCACAGACTAACAAGACATCACAAACCTAGGGACTTTCCTTTCCTTAGGAACACAGGATGGCCCAGCATTCTGCAGAGAGGGTACCAGGCCCTGGCTCACTGACCAGTCACCACCCTTAGAGGTGAGCAGCTTCCTCACTCTAGCTCCAAACAAGGACTGAGGATCTCATGCACCTCACATCTGCAGCACCTAACACATGGGTGCCAGGTGGGCAGAGCTCCCAGGTATTTCTCTAGCAACTGGGATTCCTCTCTAATCCACTAGGCTTGGATTCTCAGGCAACAAGCATCTGCTCTAGTGGCATGAAGGGGTTCCCTGAGAGCAGGCGCAGCTCTGACACTTATGCTAAGGTCCCTGGAGCCTGCCTAGCGCGTGCCTGAGCTCACAGCTATACCCTCAGTGCTCTGGTTGGTACAGGATGACTCTATCTCATTGATCAGTCCAGTCCTTTCCATGCCCCATATATCTGATGTAGAAAAAAATGGTACAGCTATTTTTTTCTTGTTTTCAAAACCAGTTAAAGATTTTTTAGTAAGAGAATCCCTGGGGCCGGGGTTGTGGCACAACATGCATAAGGCACTGGGTTCAATCCCGAGCACCATATAAAATACATAAATAAATAGGTAAATAAATAAATAAATGGATAAAAGTATTAAAAACAAACAAAAAACAACAATCCCTGTGCTGAACAGAAAACTCATGACTCCAGGTCTAACTCCAATTGTGCCACTAGAACACTCAAAAAAAAAAAAAAAAAAAAAAAAAAAAGACTAAGAGGCACAGCTGGTCAGCTCTATGCACATCTCTATGCATTTCTCTCCGACCATCAAAATCCTACCCATTGTCAAAGCCTGAACCAGGACCTACCCCATCACTCTGAATTCTCACTGCATTGCAAGGTATACCACACAACTCAGAGAATAGCAAACATGTTCACAAACATGCAGCTTAGAAGTGAGCTAATTTTGCATGGTTAGTAGTGAACTTTGCACAGTCATTTCCCATTCTGCAAGAATGGCAGCTTTCCTCAGTAAGAATGAGGCTCTTTTATGGAGAAAGTCACGTCTTCTCTCACATGATCTGGTGTCCTATAGACTCTAGCTTAGTGTGGGTGCTCAAGAGCTTGTAGTTGCTGATTATAGTGAAAAAATTACATGCACTGCCATGTGGCACTGTCTGGCATGTCCATGTCGTCACTGGAAGTGCTCCTGGGCAAACAGGCTGAAGAACTTCACCTCTAGCTTCTAGACACATTCCTATATGTTTACCAAATAAACAAAAAGGGACTGTGGTATGTTCATCAACCATATGAACAGAACCAAGTTAAGAAATAGGTCAATTCTGATATGGGCAGTGTGTGTGTGTGGGGGGGGGGCGCATTACACACAAAACCTCAGGATTATACTAGACACCTTTCTTGTACAAAATGAAGGCAGGCTTCCCACATGTGAAATGGATAGTCCCAGAGAGGATGAAAAACTACACCTAAAACCCCCACTAACATACCACAACCCAGCCCAACTCTTAAAGAGCTGCAGTGTCCCACTCAGCCTGGTGGTCCCCAGCACAGCCAGGACTCAGTAATTGTGGTGACTGGCTGTCTTAGTCAGGTTTTTCACTGTTGTGACCAAAAGACCTGACAATAACAATTTTAGAGGAGGAAAAGTTTATTTAGGGCTCATAGTTTCAGAATTCTCAATCCACAGATGACAAACTTCACTGTTCTGGGCCTGAGTATCAAGGCAGAAAGGTGTGGAGGAAGAAAGCAGTTCAAAACATGGCATCAGGAAGCAGAGTGAGAGAGACAGACAGAGAGCAAGCGAGCATGCTCCCCTCACCAGGGCCAAAATTAACCTCCAAAGGCACACACTCAGTGACCTACCTCCTTCAACCACACCTTAACTACTTATAGTTACCACCCTATTAATCCCTATTAGGAGCTTAACAACTGATTAGGTTTAAAATCTGATAACCCAATCATTCCACCTCTAAGCTTTCTTACATTGTTTCACACATGAGCTTTTAGGGGACACCTCATATCTAAACCATAACACTGGCATAAAGAGGAATCCTGAATGATTTTCCTACAAGTGTGGAACCACTAGGTCAAGACAAAGACCATTCCAGAGAGAACATCTGTAATTACCAATCACCACTCTCTTGAGGAATGAGCATCTTTTTTTCTCTACTCCCTGACCTTTCTAAAGGTCAGAAGCTGTATCAGATGGTTTCCCACTCTTCATCACCAAAACCACCTGGGCATTAGCTTAAGAAAATGAGCCTTTTATGTGAGTCCCGCTGGTCTTAACAAGGCAGATGCTTCCAGTGCAAATGGGAGCTGCGTTACAAGGGTTTCCGTCACATTATATTTCAGGGACATGCTGTTGGCTCAGAAGCCATTTTAAATGGTCACCTGTACTGTGATTTGCACTGTACTCTCGAAGGCCAGATGAGGCTTTCTGTTCCCCTGAGACCTCACTTCGGGTTATAGCTCAGACTTCTGGGGACAGTGTATACAGGCACATTTTCACTCTTGAAGAGAAAAATAATGTTTCAGAATGTGACTGGTAGTTAGGACTGGTTAAGGAAAGTATTTTCTGTTTGTTCCTGTTCAGCAAACATCTACCAGGGTCTACTGGGATAAATGCCTTTCAGACAAGAGCTAGTCTATATTAGGATCTCAAATGCTGGCCCTGCTCATATCACAGCCAAGTTCCAGTCTGTAAAGCAGAACTTTCTACAGAACAGTTAGGCTCAGATCATGATGGAAAGTTTATTCTACCCACAGCCCAGTAACTCCATAAAATACATATTTTAAGGAAAATATCCATTTTTCTCCAGAGCAACTTAAAAATTTAAAAATACTCTTAAAACCATCCCTGAACAATGACAGCATTCACCCATTTATGACATTAAAAAAAAGTAGAACATATGGCCACTTTATGTCATCTGACTGACAAAGGAGCTATTCTCTGTAGCCAGGTCTTCTTTTGTCCTTGTCACACAGATGAGGGAACAAGACAGAGTGGTAACAGTCTGCCCAGGTGACAGTGGGGGTGGGGCTACTTCACGTCTGGCAGGGCCAGGGCCTGGACTGTGCCTCAGTGCTGCTGCACCTCAGCCCTATGTGCACAGCCCTGTGACCTCTCTCCTCTAGGTCCTCACCCACATGGAGATGGACGTTTCAAAGGGGAGCTTGCATCTACACCAAAGATTCACAAGTAACGACCACTGTTTTAGTTAATTTTGTTAGGCAGATTCCTGGGTCCCTTTGCTCCCCTGTCATCCCTCCGCAGACCCAGCTTGTTTCCCTCATGGCAGTTAAGGCTCTCAGCTTCTCATCATTACTCTAAACACAATCGCTGGCATTCGACTTACAGTGCCACAGCATCCTGAGCCAAGTTGGTCTCTGGGTCTCTCCTAAAAGGGTAAGAAAAAAGCCTCCCAGAAAGCCCTGGGACTGTCTGACCTTAGCAAGTATAATATGTCTGCTCCGAAATAAAAAGACCCATTCTCCTTAGATACCTTTGATCCCAACTACAAACAGATCAGGGTGAAAAAGGTCCTCTGGTCATGGGAAAGCCCAGTCTGCTGTTGCCTTTGGTGAGTTAATGAACGACTATGCACCATGGTTCAGGAAGCTGTCTAATAAATATGCTCTACCTGCAATTGCTCAAGGAGGTCAAGGTTCTGTTTGCGTAAGCTGCTGTTGGTTTTCTCTAATTTATCCATTCTTTGGTTGTCACTGAGAGGAGAGGAATCAATAAGTTCTTCTTGAAGTACATGGTACTCAACTTCATAAGCCTGTAACTGTTTAGCGATGTCCATCTCAAACACCTGTTAGATACAGAAAGGCCATCAGGCTCCAAATAAGAGAAAAATTTCACATGTAAGCCTACACACACACACACACACACACACACACTCTTATGTCACTGAGCATCTATCAATCACCTCCTCATGCTTAGCAATATGCTTAGCAAGACATGATAAATAAGGAAAACTCTCTATGCTAAAAAGGTAATCATTTTATTTGGGAAGAAAGGATAGAAGAGGCATCCAGAAATAATTTTGAGGTAACAATAAGTACAGGTTCTTGATACTCACCTTCCAAAAGCCAAACCTTAGTTTTAAAAAAACTTCCAAAAATTTATTTAGTTATTACTTCTTTTCTCTGAAAATTCTATTAGCTTAGATACATCAACTATGGGTTAAAGGGAGAAAAACAAAAGAATCGAAGTCTATTTGCACAGTCACCAAAGTCAAAGTTTAATTATAACTCAGCTGAGTTTTCAGAGTTTCAAGAACAGCTAAGTAATGGAACTGTGTCCTTTGCACAGATATGCTGAAATGAGCCAAAACCCAAATGCCACCCACACAGATGAGTGAATATGAAACAATGCCTGAGTTGTCTCCCTTCCCATCACAGCAGTAGTGATGAAAAAACCACGTGTGTGAAATGAAGCTCTACATGCACAAGTGACTCAGGGATGGCGTCTGTACTTTCTCTTGGCAAGAGAGCCACAGGGTTCCATAGGGCAAGGGGGCAGGGAGTCAGGAGACAGATGCTGCTGTTGCCCAGCCTGTCCTCTTTCCTTCCCATTATCTCCCAAGGAACCCTATGGGCCAGGGCCTCCCAGCACAAGGGACGAGGCCCCAATGTGGACCTGAGAATGCAGTTGTGCTGGGCCCAGGTGAATGTCCGCTTGATCAGAACACACTCCAGACTGAAGTGAGGCTTTGTAAGAGCAGAGCTACCTCTACTGCATTTCCTTACAAAACAAGCTCCAACACAAGTTAGAAATCAGTGGGAAGCTATCATCCCCTGATGGCACCCTGTGAACATCCAAGCTAACCTACCTCCCTTGGCATCAATTTTTGCCCCCCAAAGCTATGTTTACTTTGTCACAATTGCCAATAATCTTATTTTCCATGAAGGTGAATTTTTCATCTTCCTGGTTTTCAGTTTAATACAGTGATTAACACTAAACGGATTCAAAAGTCATTCTGTGACTAAGAATTAAACTACAAGAGATCATGCATGAGACCATGAGATCAAGTGGATGAGAGAGATAAGGGGACTGTGTCGAACTGATTTCCCTTGGCCTCCAGAATAACCAAGAGGTCAGTGGCAATCACTACCTCCATGTTACCATCAAGGTCACTGATGAAATGGTGGCTCTACTGGAAACTCTAAATGATCTTGAGAGCATTACTTAACCTCCCCATCCTCAGTTCCTGGCCTCCAACATGGGGCAAATGACACCACCTACCAGTGCTGAGAATGAAATGAGATGACTCACACAACACCCTGCACATGCCTGGCTGCACACACCTGTCACAAACCCCCACTTTTCAACATTGTGCCTCAGCAAAACTAGAATGGATGCCATGTCATGGAACTTTTGAAAAGCAAAAACCACAAAAGTGCTGTGGCACCTCTGTGTAATTATAAATCTGGTACTAAATAAGTGCCATAAACACAATTACTTATTTTGTCCACAAAAAAAATTTATTTTTAAATCATCTCTTAACCTAGAAAACTCAGGAACAAAACCTCAGTTTCTTTACACATTTGGATGACCTGTTATGACTAATGGCTCTCAGCTGTGGCTAAAGGCGCACACTCTTCCAGGCCTCCATTCCTAGGTAGGAGCCACTCTGGGTCTTAATCGCCTCAGCTTAATTGCATCACCACCTCCTGACTGCCAAAACACTCAACGGACCTTGATTCTGCAGTTATGCCCCAGAATTGATCCCTAACCATGACAGTGTGTGGCGGGTGGGGAAAGAATCCTGGTTCCTGAACAATGTGTTCAGCCCCAGGCAAATTACTTGGGCAAAGGACAGAAGGGGTGGTGGTGGCAGGAGGGATCCTTGTCCTTGCACACTTAAGAGGACACAAGCGACACACTGCTGGTGCCAGTTTTAGCTAGAGAAAGAACAGGAAGGCCTAAGATTAAAGCCTGAACAAAAAAGAGAAATGTTAAAGACACCTAACCCCACAGGACGGGGACAGGGATGTAGTGGAGGAGCAGTGCTCAAGTGCTCAGCTCCATCTGGCATAGGTCACTCCCTGAGCACCATCCTGCCACAGCTGCAAGGCACCCGGCCCCTCTGAATGTAATCTTTCTTCTGGATCCATGGCAGGATGATGGCACTTGAATTGATCTATGCCTTCCCACCATCCTGACTCTCAGTTTCAGGAAAGTTCCAGAATTGGAACAGGAGAAACGGGAACATTCTTTTCTGTTTGCCAAAGTATGGATTAGTTATTGCCCCATTTTCAATATCTTGCCACAAAGATAAACCATTCATTTTTTGTTATTAAAACACTATAGCTACATTATAGGAAGCTTGCAAAACAGAAGAAAAATTACCAATAAAATTCCCATCTTCTATTTCTTTTTATCCTTATTTCCATAAATGTTTTTCTAGTTAAAAAAAAAATTTCCTCTCACTTTTTTTCATTTAATAGTATATTCTAAGAGCTCTTTCATGTTGCTGTGTCTTCATAACCATAATTATAAATGACTTCATGTGTTCTACCCACTTATTTACCATGACTATGTCAAGTGTTGGATATCTTGTTACTTTCAAATTTTTGTATTATAAATGACAACTCCAAAATAATACCCTTATACAAATGGACTTTCCATATTTTGGATTATATCCTAAGGATACATTCCAAGAACTGAGATTACTGAGTTAAAGGTTTTACATGTTACTGCTTGTGACACATATTGCCAAACTGCTTCCCAAGTGGAAACAACAGTCAAGGTACAATGCCACTGGCAACGTACCAATGTGCCAGATACAGTATACCCTAGGTGCTGTATCCTGGCGTTAAAAAATGTCAGTTTTGTCATCTAGTAGGTAAGCACTGTATATTATGCAGAAATTTAAATTATGCATGAATCTAAGTATTTTCCCAGACAAGTGTTTACTGGCTCTCCCCTTCAGTGGATTGTTTATGTTCTTCATTTGCTATGGGAGACTCAGGAGTTTGTAGTTCATGGACACTGTATAATAAAAGCCTTAACTCTGGTGGCCTGCAGAACTAGCCACATACTTTCCACCTTCCTAATCCCCAGACCCTGCTTCCCAATCAGCAGGAATGGACAGTGGGAGCAGCTGGCATGGGTGTCGGCAGCAAGGGGAGCACTGTCTGTGGTAAATTTAAAAACAATAACGTCGACTAAGAGTTGGTCTGCTTTTATTACCACCACATGTGAGCAATTTTAAACAATGTCAGTGGTAAAATACTCTCTCTACTGTCCCACCCTCTTGGTGGGGCACTGTTGGTCCTTTTACAAAACAAATCATTTCAATAGTGCAAACTGCCCAAGACTGGAGGGCTCCCTCCCCAAGGAGCAGAAGAAGCCACCTCACAGTTGCAATATCTTCTGAACACAGGAACTTTGTTAGGGTTTTGCTTTCATCCTACCAAGCTCAACTGCAAGAGACCAGTTCTTAAAGTTGTAGAGCTTTCAAATGGTCCTGTAGAAGTGAGTCCCCAGGTGATCTTGTAAAAATACAGACTCTGACTCAGCAGTCTGGGGTGGGCCCCAGAGTCTGATCTAATGATAATGCTGGGGCTACAATGAATAGACCCAAAGGATGCTGAAAAGAGACCACAGGCTCTCCCTCCCAACTGTGGCTGGAGTCAGCAGATGCTAGTGTTTACATGCAACTGACAGTTCCTTCAGAGAGTACAAGGTCACACTAAGGAACTGTCATGGAGGTTTCGGAGACCCTGGGTCTTCTATCTGCACTGTCAATGCACTGTGGCTGATCCCAACCTGGGTGTACTGAACTAGAGCTCCAGAACCCCGTCCTTGGCCCAAAAGTCTCTCTTCCATTCAGAATGTTGACCAAGCTGACTATAGGGACAGCACATAATGAAATGGGGCTATAGCTGTCACAGAGAACCCCCCAGACTCTACTCTCCCACCGCAACCTGTCATCTTCAGGGCCCATGCTCTGAGGCGTGCAATGAGCACACATCACCTTCACCCCGTGGACTGCCCAGGTTCAGGCCTGGCAGCTCTAAGCCTGATGAACAACTGCACCATGCCCAGATCTGATCTCCACGCAGAACTCAAGACTCAAGCACTCTCTGGCGGGGAAGAGACAGCCAGGCTAACAGAACACTCAGATGCCAGGTTCTAGACAAAAACAGAAGGCAAGGAGACTACACAGAGTTTATCTGTTTTCTACCAAAATCACTGCTGAAATGAAAACCTGGGCCCCCATTGCAGATTCTGTGCAACCTACACCCTTACACCACCCCCTCCCCCGGAAGGGGAGAGGTCTGACTGCTGTAACATCCCAGGAACCTGGAACTGCCCATTCTCCCACTCCAAGCCTCTGGCATGTGTTGTTATCTTCCAGCTTAGGGGTCAGCAAGCCACAGCTTGTGAACCAATTTGTTTCACTTCCTATTTTTGTAAATAAAGTTTTATTGCAACACAGCCAGTTCATTCCTTTACATGCTGTTGATGGGTTTTCAGCACTACAAAGGCAGAGCTGAAGAGTTGAAGCCTAAAACACTTCCTGCCACTCTGCAAGGTGCTGGATGACCCTGACTTATTCTTCCAAGTCTGCCTGGATTCTCCCACCTGACTCTAGCAGCAGCCTTCAGGAACCCATGGCCTTGCCCCTGTAAGCCCTGCCCTCAGGCATGCAGTGCCGGGTATGTTACTCTCTAAGCCCCGCTTCCTTACTATAAAAATGGGAATCCTAATCCTAGACTTGTTAAGGAGTCAGTGTAACTCTGAATGCCAAATTCAAAACAGTTACCTGAAACAAATCAGGTACATCTCTACACAATTTCTCTTCCCATTTGTACACTTCCAACATTTAGAGGGTACCTGATGACTACTAGGATATCAGGTACTTTGGGTAAGTACTACCCTTTATGGAATAGGGGAGAAATGGGATTCTTCCTGGAGTTCCACACCCAGAAAGTAAATGGAATGTCACTGAGAGGCCTGTCCCAGAGCCAGGACAAGCTGGAAGTGGGCACTCACTAGATGGAAGATTTGGTCCAGGTAAGCAAGGCTCTCTGGTTTGCCCCAGCAGCTATGAAACAGACAGAAAAAGAAATAAGAAGGGAATAAATATAAATATGACATAAATTAAATAATGTAAAAGGCAGATAGTTCAGTATTAGGATGCAGATAAAACAAAGAAAGCTCCATAATTAAATGACTCCCAGAGGCACTGAATGTTGAACAGCTGCTAAAGCAATTTGAGATGAGACAAGTTGAAGCCCCACCCTTCCCCTCCACTGCAGAGTGAGTGTGGGCCAGTAAATTAACCACTTTATATCCTCTCAGGAATGCGGTCATGACTGAATGAGATCATATGTATGTGTAGATTCCCTAGAACCTAGCAAAAAGCAAGGACTCAATAAGCCAAAGCCATCCACCTCCAGAGGATTGTGCCAGGGAAGTAAAATAACATCAAGAATGGAGCTTATTAGTTAGCTCAAGATCAGTGTGAGTGGGAAGGAAATCCTCTTTCACACTGGTATATGCAGTGAGCAGAGGTCCAAAGTAACAACAGGTATGAAAACTCTCCTTTTTCAGGCCAACTTGTGCTTAACACCTAAGGTGGAGCAGCAAATGAAGATCAAAAACACTGCATCTGGATGCAATCCACTGGAACTGCTGGATCAGCTGGACTATAAGAAATCTCCAGAATAAGGATTAAAAAAAAAAAAAAAAGCTTCATTCTATTATTTGCTTTTACCTGACTGCTCTATATTTTCATTACATTTGGAACAGGTTCTAGACTTAGGAGAGGCCTGACTGCTGACTATGCAGTGACCCAGAGATGAAACCTCTTCCAGCACATTCTTGGTCACCTGGCCTCTGGACACTTGATGGGGACTGTCTTCTGCTAAACTGCTTAGCCCTTCATTATCAGCAATAGTTACTGCAAGATTCTTCCTTACACAGAACTGAAATCTACTCCCAGGGCCAATCCAAACCATTTACCATCTGGCCAAGTTGTAACTCTCAGCCAAATCCACCTCTAAAACTCCACCATTTCAGACAGCAACAACTCTACCACAGAAAGAAACCAGAGGCACTGCAGCCACAGATGTGGAACTGAAATCTGGGGGAAAAAGCACAAAAAACTACACAGAATATATGCCCCTAACACAACTCTGCTATCAAAGAGTTAATTTCAATTAATACCATTCAACAGAAAAATCATTCATTTTATGAAAGTCTACACTGTACAAATGTACACATTTCAGGACAACTACTAGAGCCGAAGGTTCTTAAATGAAAGCAACTACTGATGACTTGAGCTTGCTGCCACACCTGAACACTGCCCCCAAGTTTCCTTGCATCATTTCACCATGACACTCACAGCATATACACCCAGGCACACATTTAATCATGCAGCATGTATTTGTGATGTGCCTCCTTCACGCCAGGCACCATGCGAGATGTTCTTCAGAACAGAAAGCAGCAGGAAACAGCTTCTGCTCAGAAGAAATTTAAGCTTTTACAGACCCAGGAACCGATAAGTATCTGGAAGGTCAGGACTGAATCATACCTGATTGATGGTCTTCTCCATTTGTACCAAGCCCAAGTTAGGTAGTGTGTTTTTGATAAAGTCCACTATGGTTTCTAAGTTTTCATGCTGCAGAATCAAGGGCTTATGGCTTCCCAAAAGACTTAGAGCCACTTTAAATATGACCTCTGACCCCTGAAGAAAGATCATATCTGGGAAAACAGAAACAGAGTTAAGTCATGCCTGTTTCTGACAAAATACCATTCTGTTTCCTTTTCTTCACATCATAGAGCAGAAGGGTAGGAAACATAACCCCAAACTGCAAATTTTATTTCCTTTTTCAGAGTGTGCTATTTCAGATAGGATTGTCAAGACGATACTGCAAATAATAAAAATAATAGATAAACACACTGCTTAGACTTTGTCACAGGTTCATATAAATCTTTCTTTTCCCCCACTCTGAAAATGATTTAAATTCAAGTATGCTTTAAAAGTTATATTGAGAAAAAGAAAATGGTTTTTATTTTTTCTAAGAATGTTCTGGATTTTAAAGAAGTTACTAAAACATTTTTAAATGGATAAACTGTAAGATTTTTTATGGAAATTAAGATAGAATAAGTAAAACAGTTTTCTAATAACGGATAGGATTAAAAAGATCTCTAAAAAACTGTAAAAAGTCTACACCATTGCAAAAGCACATTATATAAATGAGCATCCTGAAGTTCAACATAATAATGGATGAAAAAACCACTTTTCTCGCTAAGGAGTTTAAAGAACCTTGTCAAGGCTACTTTCAAGTTCTTGCTATATTTTCTTAGAGAAACTGGCAAATCATAACAACGCCTATATTTATATTACATAGTGCAAGGGCAGGCAGGCAAGTGGCCAAGTCAACCAGTTGAGAGCAACCCAGCCATCTCCCCCTTTCTTGGAAAAGTGACTCCACTGGACAAAGAGAAGCAAATGTCCTGGGGTTAAAGCATAGCCATAGCAACTAGTAATTAAGTGACTAAATTCAGGCCAGTTATCTAATAACCGGACTAATAAGCATAAGAAAAAATATACAATTTTAAAGACACGAGTAGAAGTAAAATCAGAGGCAAGAGTGAATTTCTTTTTTTTTTTTTTCCTTCTTTTGCTTTTTGGCTACAGGCTAATGGAAAGAATGAAGCAGTTGTAAATGTCAACTCAAGAAAACTGAGGGGAAAAAAAGAGGTGAGAGAATCCCTGCTAGGCCACCTTTCCTCGTTTGGTCTGATAACATGTAAAAGCCATTAAGCAGCAGCAAAGCAAAGGCTGACTGCGGCTCTGCCTGTGGGGAACTCAGTCAGAGCAGTCTCCAAACAAAGTGCAAAAAGCAGAAACAAGGGGCCTGGGAACCTATCAGGTTAGCCCTTGAGATGCTGTGACTTCACAAAGCCCTAACCACAACTGGAGCTGGTGCTAGCTGGGACAGGTCCTATGCTAGGTGACGGCAGTCCTGAGATCAGCCTGCCATGGCTGATCAGCATGGGTACCACACAGCTTTCACTAACATCCCAGCTGCTGATGGTCCTGGGTGGCCCCAGGATGGGAAGGGATGCCAGATCCCTGGTTTTCTTACGCAGGGCTGGCTGTCGAGGCTCCGAAGACAATTAGAGAACCAATGGGATCTTTGAAAACTAAACTTCTTCAGGGAAGTACGATCCATAATGAGGCAGTGCCATGGAAGAATATTCCAGCAAATATGTTTATTAAAAATATGGTCTATTTATGTAATTCACCACTACAGGAAATAAAATTAAAAGATCTATCATAGTACAAGATGCATTTTTAAACAGAAATGATATTGCTAAAAAAAAGACAAATTAGATTTGAGGTTAGTGGTTAAGCTAGTACAACTTCCTTTTAATATATGAACATTTTATAGCTTTACAAAAATTTCTCTTTCAGAATAAACATTGACCTTTTTTTGGCAAGGATCTTGGGGAAAGGATTTCATTGTCAAATCAATGATTTCTTATGGCTTGGGATCTTTAGTCTCTGAGGAACAAGTACCTAAAACTGTACCTTAAAATTAGGTGCATTATCACCACATCTAAGCCAACGGAGATAATTACTGGGAGCTTTCAAGAGCATGATCAAATACACAATCCAGATCAGTGGTTCTGAGGTCAGCAACAGGTCTTCTGACTTTCATACCCTTAGAATCTTGGTTTTCACAATGACGTAAGACAGTGCTTCTTACAATTCTAAACTAGGACTTTTTTTGGATTGAATCAAGAAAATGAAAGAAAATTTGGAGAAGTGTTTGTGTGTTTGTCTTTTTATTGGTATGTTAAAAAAAATATAACCCTGATCATGTGTAATTTATTGGGTCTGTTTGCATTTAATGGAATAAAATGGAAAGGTTCTTTCCTATATTACTCAAGACCTTCTGGAGCACTCTTCCTAAGAAGTTTCTTCTAATTTAACTTAAGCATTAGTTGCTATCAGGCACTGAGGATTTAGCCATGAACAAAAGCACAAAGAAGAACTGCAGAGACACCAATGCATGCTGGCTTGGTAGCCAGGGTGCTATGAGGATAACGAAGACGGGAAAGACCAAGGAAGGTGAGTGCTCGAAGAGCCAGTGGGAACTGCTAGGTGAGAAGTCAGGCAGTAACATCCTGAGCAGTGTGTAGGTGGGGAAGGTGTGAGAGAAGCTCCTCCTGTGCAGGGAACTGAAGGCACTTTGGTAGAGGGAAAAACACTGGTTATGTGGGGCAGACTGTGGGGTGCACAGCCAGCTCATCAAGGCCTTCCACTCCCACTCTGGTCAAGGCATGTAAAGCCTTCCGCGACTGCCCACTTTACCTCTGCTCTGAATGGGTCAGTGCCTTGGCAAGAAGGTGACGCTAATGACATCTAGGTTCTGGGTCTCATCCCGGCAAGAGCTCCTTAGCTTAAGAGAGAAAAGGTGCCTTTTATGGGGCCTACTGGCAGTCGAGATGAATGCTCCATTCACACCTCCCACACCTCCTGCTTCCAGTGCCCACCTCAGCCCAGAAGCTTCTGGTAGACTGGGTAGGTCTTAAACAAGAACTTCATTTGGGTACCTGATGAAAGAACGTGCTGAAAGGGTTGAAGGAAGACCCCCTCAACTGGCCTCCTAAATCTTATCTGACAGGGGCTACAATTGTGGCTCAGTGATAGAGCAATTGCCTAGCATATGTGAGGCACTGGGTTTAATCCTCAGCACCATATAAAAATAAATAAAATAAGGGTATTATGACCATCTACAACTAAAAAAAATTTTTTTTTTAAATCTTTCTGACGGCATTTGGGAGAGACTCTATATTTACATAATCAGTACTTCCCCCCTCACTCTAGAAATTTTAGAAATTAAAGATAATTTTTCAATGGCTGTAAAATAAGTTACTACAATCCCCCACTGCTTCACCCAAAGTATTTTAGTTTTGTATGGCTTCCAATCCATATCCATATCCATTTGCATGCTGGATTTTTTTAAACCAGTAATGTCCTGGGAAAGGTGCACTGAAGTCCTCACTGGAAACCACTGTATGCAGAGAACTGTTGGAGGCATCAGCAGCACTGCAGCAGCCCAGGCACAACCTGCAGTCCATCCCTCTCCATAGGACTTTCCTCCTGTCCCTTCCCTTTCCTCTCAGTTTTTTCAAGCCTCCTAGAAACACACAGGAAGTTGAGGGAATGTTAAATCAGGCTGACTCCACAACTTCGCACATTATTCGCTGAGAATTCCACTAGCTACTTCCCTTTAGAGATGCTGCAACAGTCCTGTTCCCATGTTCCAGCGTACAGGACCTCTACTTACAATCCTGTGATCTCAAAGTGAAACTTTCCTCTGTGAACTCACGTGGTATTCTCTTTCCCAGCCACCTGTCTCTGTCCAGGCTAACCCCTCTCCCTGACTTTCTCTCAGGAGCCTGTGGCCTTCTGGTTGTGGCACATTCCTATCAGGAGCAGATGGGGAGCTGACAACAACTGTCAGAAAGGCTGACAACAACTGTACAGATTCGTTCCTTCTGTCATTTTGGTACTGAGGAATGAACGCAGGGGAGCTCTACCACTGAGCTACATATCCAACTCTTTTTTTTTTTTTTTTTAAATTTTGAGACAGGGTCTCAACAAATTGCCCATATTGGCCTATCTTCCTGCCTCAGCATCCTGAGAAGATGGGATTACCACCTACGAGGCATGCACCACCACACCCAGCTTACTGTACAGATTTTTAAAAACTCACTTCATTGTCACTGCATGACATTGCCTGAATGGCCAGACGGTTTCCTGGCCATACAGACATACTTGTTTTCCCAGTCTATTTTTGTCCTAAAACTTCACTAAAGCCTGCATTGCATTACAGGTGGCTTATGCAAAACCCTCAGTTTCATGCCCCACCACCTCGTCATCTCCTTGGCAGGACATCCTAGAGGAAAAACTAGGAGCCCAACACTGCAGCCTCCTCCACCAGTAGGAGCAAGCAGCTCCTATTTTCTGGATTTTTCTTCCCTACAGGAAGATGTGGTTAGAAGGTGAACAGAATAAGCATTTTCCCCAAGGCCCTGCTAACCTTCAACCAGAAACATATAGAGGAGAGTGGTGTGGCACCAGGCAGGATGACAGCTAATCAGTGTGACTACCAAGCATGGCTGAGGCACACATATTGTTGGTAGCTGCCCTTCAGAAGCAAATCCTTGATTTCCTTAATTTGAAGTGACCTATAATTCATACGTGAGCTATGCTGATGCAAGTGGAGAATCTTTTACTGATGTATAAAACAGCGAGCAGTCAACAAAGGTCCGTTTGTTTTTAGGGTTTATCCAGGCTTAAAGGCTTATAATAAAATGGGCCCCAGGCCAAAAAAGATGAGAGTCTGGATGGCAGGCTTCAGAATTTAAAACTAAGGAACCTTCCACCTGGGGCTCAACAAACAGGGTTGAAGTCACCAAAACTGTATTTAGAAATGGTTTTTAAAAAACATCTTTTCAGTGGAACCAACTAAATTGTTCAAGTCCTGAAGGCAATAAGGACTATGCAAAAACATCCAGTAGAGTCTGCAGAGTGACGTCACAGCACAAGGCTTCCTTCAGCTCCCATGGCTGCCTGTAATCCCTGGCACCCTCAATCAGCCAGACAGGAACCCACTTGATCCAGTAGGCAACACTGGCACCTTTATACTGCATAAGAAACTCCAAAACCCACCACTGCCTCCACAGAGAAAAACATTCTCCTCAGCTTTTATTTATGAACTCATTTCTAGAAGGAGCTTCAGAGAGCTCTGAATTATTTCACAACAGAAGGGCTCTTTGCTTCTTTTTTCATGTCTTTTGCCCACTTATGCAGCCTAAAGAAAGACTTTTCCCCAGAGCCCAGAACTCCCTGCAGGCAGAAGCTCCAGCAGTGGTCCACAGGCAGGGGTGACTCAGTGGCCACCATGCAGTTCCTCCAGCTCCAACTGGTGGTCAGCCCAGCTCCCTGGGGAGGATTTTCTTCCCAAACCATGGAATTCAGTGCCTGGGCTATTTTCAAACTAACAAATGGCATTCTCTCCTCTCTCCCTCAATCTTCAGTCCTCTTTGTGACCTTGTATGAAAAACAGAATTATGGACATCATTACGGCAGGTGCAAGTATGACTGCACATATGGTGTGACGCTACATTGTGTCCAAAGTTGTGCTGCAATTGTGTACAATGAATCAAAATGCTTTCTGCTGTCATGTATACCTAATTAGAATAAATAAATTTTTAAAAAACAGAATTATGAAAAACTAAGTAAGGTGGGTTGATATATTTTTAAAAATTTATCCAAAGTAAAAAAAGAAAAAAAAAAACACCACAGAAATCACTGGCAACAAAACAACAAGAAAAACTGAAGGCCACAGCTAGAGATCTAACATCTGTAATTCTTCCCCCCAATACTAGGGATGGAACCCAGGGTTTTGTGTGTGCTAGGCAAGCACTCTACCACCAAGCTATAACACTTTTTATTTTATTATTGATACAGGGTCTCACTAAATTATCCACGTTGGTCTTGAACTTGGAATCCTCCTGCCTCAGCCTCCCAAGGAGCTGGGATTATAGGGTACGTCACCATACCTGGCTTTTTACATAATATGTAAAATTTACAAAATACACCTGAAATAGTAATATCAGTGTTTCTCTACATTCCCTTTAAGATGTTCTTTGATTCTATAAATAAATCTTTGAAAGTATAAGATTACATGGTTTTTAAACTATCAAATGACTTTCCATAAAGGACATTTCCTTCACAATAAAAAAATAAGTGAATACAACCTGAATTGTCAAAAATGTTAGTTTCATTTTAAATTGGGGAAAATAAGTTGTACAGGAATTGATTGTGCTCATGGTATTTCACCAGGTTCCCGATATGCAAAAGGATGGCCCTTGTCCCTGCTTATCTCAGGAGACTGTGAGACTTTACCCATGAACTCCCATGCTTCTCAAAGAGTAAAAGAAAAGGGTAGGTGTGGCCCACAGACAACCTAAGGTCACAGCAGGGCATAGCCGTGGGTGTGAGAGGTGTCAGGGTACAAGAGGAGAGAGTCACGCACAGAGTTGTCTCAGATCCTGACGGAGAGGTCTTCCAAAGTAACTAGAGAAAAGAAGAGCTAGAGGCAGCGAGAGCAAAGAAGGGAAGGAGGACACAGAAAAGGAACCTAGAAAGAGTACCAGGCCAGAGGCAGGGGGCAGAGAGGCTGAAGACAGGGCTCCCTTAGGGACAGCCATAGGGCTGTGAGGGGAATCTGACTAAACTCTCAAGGTAGAGACAGCTCGGGAAGCTTCTGGAAATCCAGGATGCAGGAGTCCCAAAACCCACCCTACTAAACTCAGACTGTCAGTAATACCCTGCTCCTAACGAGTGGCACAGTTACAAAATTAAGCAGGTCCAGGATTAAGTGACAAGAAATGCTTCTTGCCCCACAGGAGAATGCTTACCAAAGACTCTGGCTACGAAGCCCAGTGGGAACTGCGAGGCAAACACGGTGAGGAACCAGGGTGCAGCATAGAGACTGGGGCCGATCTCGTGCTCCTCCAGGTGATCGTAGAGGTCTCTGTGGTAGTCGTGGAGAAGCCGAGACAGCTGGTACATCTGGATCTGCAGGGACAGATGCCCACGGGTGCTGAGAATCCAAGATGGGCTGTGTACCCCAACTTTCCCATCCTCACGCCTGAGGGAGTCATGGCACTTGAACCTTTCTAGTTGGCTGAGGCAGTCACTGACCTCAGCTATTAACTCCTTCAACAGTGCTTCCTGGGGGACCATGATGCAAGAGGCACTGGCTGGGAATAGGCCCAGGACACTAGTGTTAAGTACCCTAACACTCTCTTTTTACTGTCCTCTGTGTCCCTTGGCTAAGGGAATCTCAACATCTGCCTTGTGCTAGCATTTCAAAAATTCTTATACGAATACATATTGAGAAACTCGGATGCAGGTGAATTAGAAATAAAAGGCCAGTCTCTCTGCTGAGAATAAACTGAGGGCATGTCACAATTCCAGAGACGTCCACCATACATGTTCACTCAGTCAGTTCCCTGTGAACTCACAAAAGGCAGGACAAGAGTAATTTTTAGATTTATAACATATGGAATACATAGATCCGGGGCAAGATCATATAGGAAGTTAAGTATTTTTCTTAAGGTGAATAACTTTTTCCAATTAAAGTTCGACTCCAAAGTCAAGATGTCCTTCCTCAAAGAATGTTACAATTCTGGCAGGAAGCTCACTCCAGTTCCCAGCAGCCCCATGGCTCTCAGGGTTTTTTTTTTAATCCAGCCCAGCAAATCCATGGCCTGGAAACAATAACCTTTAAAGAGGGTCAGAATCCAACTGAGATGCTCCAAGCTGGGTATGTACTACCCCAAATGAGGAAAAATAAAACCACTTTCAGAGGCCTAAAAAATAAACTTCTCTTAAACATCAGCCAAAGTCTAATCAACTGAGGCCACTGGCCCCTGAAAGATTTGTGTGTTATGCTGAATTATAGGAAATTAAAAAATTCCACTTTGATGACAGATGCCTCTACAGTAAAGATAATGAAGGGAACGGAGGAAGAACCTGACAATGTGTGGAAAGTGCTTTGTGGGTCAAATCTTTTAGTGGACGGAACAATCCCTCTACGAGATTCGTGTTCATGTGGTTCATATTCACAGGTCGAGGCAGAACCATCTTCATGTAATTTTGGATTCTCAAAGTCCTTGGCTCTAATGATACTTTCTAAGGCTCTGAAATTACAGAACTCTGCTGGGAAATGAACATATAAACACAAGTTCCAACATTTTAAGCAACAGTTAGATATATTCCCAAAGGAGGATCCAGTGCTCTTCCTCACTCTGAAATGTGGAGGGCAGTGCCCGGCGTGTGGACATGCTGCTCAGTCTGGCCTCCTTCAACAGACCTGTTCGTTTAGTAGATACTGCCTACGCCCACTCCATCCTGGGTACCACTGTTGAAGCTAGAGACACAGCTTCAACACTATCACAACCTCCCCTCCCATGACACTCACACGCCAAGCAAAGCCAGAAAATAGGTCAACGAGCAAATGAACAAAAAAAGGTAATTTCTGGCAGCGAAGATGTTATGCCAAAGAAATGAGGAGGCTGATGTGACAGTGTGCTGGGGTGCAAGAGGGAGGTCACAGCATACAGTGATCAGGAAGAGCTTCTCCCAGGACATGGCATGTGAGCCGAACCCTGGATGACAGGGTTGGGAAGCAGGTCTCAGAGGCAGAGACCAGCTCTGCTACTTGTTAGCTGTGTGACCTGGCCCAAAGATGTGACTGCTTTGAGCCTCAGTTTTCCTATCAACAAAATGAGCCAATTAATAGTATCTTCCTATAGGTCATCGTGGAAGTCTACAGAGCACAAGGAACAATGTCTCACACAGAAAAAGCTATCAGCAATGTCGACCATTAGAAGATTAACAGGTGTTAGAAAGGCTCCCCAGGTTTACACGAGAGGGACAACACAAATTTTTAGCATTTATTTTTATTATTAAAGACATAAGGAATGTTCTATACCTGTAAAATTATCATGTCTGGCCGATATTGCTTCCGTAGTCCCATGTCAAACATCAAAAACTTGAGCATTTTAAACGCCTCTTCCTCACTCATATGAAGAAGCAAAATGCCTGCCACAAAGCTGAGGCCTTGGCAGTATCCTACTTCCTGGTCTAGAAGTGAGTAGGCCTTCAAAATGTTGTAAAGTGACAGCTGCCCTGCTCCGAGCTGGGCAGAGAAATACGGATGTGTTGGAAAGGTTCGCCCTGGGAAGAGAATACAGAGAAATTATAATGAAAAAGAACGACTACTGAGCCAGAAATGCAATGTGCTTCAGATTAAAGCAACAATCTTTAGAAGCTGGATCATAACATAAATCAGCCTTTAACACCACCTCTGCTCTCTGAACAAGGTCAGCTGGTTGTTTCTGGCATAATGTTTGCAATTCAAAAATCAGCAATAAATCAAGCTTTTTATTTTTTTGGTGGTGATTCAGGTGAAAAAAATCAGAATGATCTTTGGTCCTGCAAATGTCTACATTTCAACAGAAAACAAAAAGAAAACCATTGAACTTCCATTCTCAAGAGGAACATGATAGCCCTGGTTTCTGGAGCCCCCACCCTACTCTCTTGTTACAGGCCCCCCAGTCAACCTTTCCAAGACCACATGGACTCTGCTGGCAAATGTGTCTCATCACACGCACATTTATGTACTCCAAACCACAGGCATGTCCCCCAACAGGCTGCCGGGCAGAGGGTGTTTCCTTTCACCCAAGAGTTGCCTTCCAGAAGAGAGTTAAAAAAAAATAACAGAAACGTCTCAAAAATCCTGATTATCTTCACCAAAAGCTGACATTCAAATAAAATGGTGGGGGGCTTTTTCTGTTTTTTGTCCCCTCCCTCTGGAATGTGACGCACAGGAGGCGGGTTTCCAGGGAGCATAAAAGCTCCTGGCTATGACAGGATATTTGCAGGCGCGCTTGAACACAGGTCAGGTCAATAGAGGTGCATCTGGCCACACGTTATTTATAGTTATTTGGTCTCAGCAGAGGAGGGAGCTAAATTTATGTGTTTTCTTCAGCTTCTTGAGAAAGCGGTTAATCCATCCAGATGGGCTGGTCTGAAGGTGACTGAAGAGTATGACAACGTCACGTCTTTCCTGTTCTGTAGTCACTTCTTTCTGGCTCTACCTCTCCCCAACAATTCTTTCCTAGATACTCCTTGTCTATGTTACTCTGCTGCTAGAAAGTAATGAAATTCTCCCCAGTGCTCACAGAACAAATGTTCTACTCTACTAGTATGGAACCCTGCCCACCCACCTCCCACCTCTGGCACGTACAGCTCTGAATAGACTATTTAGTTCTCTGAACCTTGGCCTCCGCTTCTTTAACATAAGCAGAACAGCAAGACACATATCTGGCAGACATATACCACACACATTCTCAAGACCCCACTTCCAAGCAAGACAGAGAAAAAAAGAGGTATGTATACCACAGTTCTGAAGTACTAATGCAAAATAATTTACATTCAAGGTAGAAGAGTGACCCTATATTACTTTATTAACTATAATGTTCCACATGAGCCTGGAAATTTTACTAATGTACTTCTAGAGGCAAAGGAAAGTTTCAGCTCAATAACTGATTTTCACAAAATTTGAAATTCAATTGTGCAGAAAAGAGAGCTGTCATGTGCCATCTGTGGGCTGTGTGCAGACCGTTGCTCATAGTAGCCTAGTGAGGGGATAAGTGGCCGTGGGAACTTCCCTTAGCACCCACCACAGCGACTGACCACCTGATGCCGGTGAACTTACCACTCAAACTCTGCTAAAGATCCCACATGCACCTGAGACAGGTGTGACCTGAGGAGATGCCAATCAACCTGCTGACTACTAGACATCTTGAAGCAAGACTCAGCCCCTGAAACCTTATCCCTGCCTTTGATGTACCCTGTTAAATAAAACACCAGAGCCATCTTCTCTTTGTCTAGTTCCAGAGCTCATGTGGACAAGATCTATCAGGGTCTTTGTGTTTGTAAATATATTTCTGAATATTTGTGTTTTGTTATTTACTAATTATTTGAGACTTTTAAGTTTTAAGGTGGCTTACATTCTCCTGGGCAGGAAGAGCCACCCCACAATGAGATACTGGCAATCAACCCTGATAGAAAGCTACTATAAATTCCAGGTTATAATAATAAACATTATCACCTCCTAGATTCACTGAATACCTGTGAACCCTAGCCTTTCCCATCTTTAGTTACTACTCAAACCAGTCAAGTCATCCATGTTGCAGAGCCTTAGAAAGTGTAATTGATTTTCTTTATGCCAGAAACTTATCAAGCTAGAAAAAGTTTCCCAGTGTGTTCCATGAGATTCTAAATGCGATTTTCAGTCACAGAGTGCTGTACTCAGCACAGTAAGATGGGTGCTCAGGTCCACACCAGGTAGGGGAAGAGCCCTGAGCCTTGGCCTTCAGCTCCTGACTGACGGGAGAATGACTTGTCCATCTGAGTCTGTGGTGCAGTCCATGTTCTACAGTGTATTCTATTCCTATCTTACCTTCTTAGAGGTCAACAGTTCACAACTGTGGTCAGTCTGAAGGCCCTTGGTGGGGGTTGAGGGTCTCCCTTTCAGGGGTCACCCTTCTGTTTTCTAATTACAGATCTGAGGAGTCAGTAGGGTTTTTTTGTTTTTTGTTTTTGGTGGACTTGAAATAACATAACCACAACACAGAGAATAAAGCAAATATGATAATCCAGCTGATTCTATTTAAATCAGATATGCAAGACACTTAACTGTAAAACATCAGTCTTCTTACCTTTTTTGAAAAGCCATTTCCATAATACATTTATGAGTTTATTATAGTTATTTTAAAATAAATATACAAGTATTTTTAAACTTTATCAGTTTTAATTTCTAATGTAGTAAATATGGACAGGAATTGTTCATATAAACAAAAACTCTTTGGGCTATTCAATAATTTTAAATAAAAGGGATTTCTGGTGTCAGAATTTTTGAAACACCACAACTTTTCACATTCCTGACATAGACCAGATATGGAGGGCGAGGCAGGCCACTAGGCAGAGAATGGACCATTCGGATTAAAAATGTTCCCAAGAAAATCCATATTCATATAATCCAGCACTGGTGCTGCAGACTGCTAGCACCCCAAACTAGCAGGCATTGAGCTGGCACTAGGGAGAAAAAACACAGTTCCTAAAGACCATACATGTGATGCTCATCTGCAGTGGGTTCTGGGGCCTGGAGCCTTGCACAGCGCACACTGAAGACATGGTCAACCCCTTGCACTTCACTGCTCACTCAGCAGTCACCATGAGCAAAATATTGTTTGCTTTAAGTTCAAAGTTTGTGGAAATATGTTTTAGAAGTCTCACTCTCACCCCAAACCCAGAAGCACACTGGCTCTGGAAGACTTCAGCTTAGGGAAAAGAAGCTCACTTCTGCAAACTAGAAGGAAACTGGATAAAAACTGTGAAGAGCTTCCTACAAGTACATTGAAATAAGAGACCTGCCTCTTTAAACCGTCTTCTACAGTTTACCACAAAGTAGAGAACTGCAGATCTTTACAATTTCTGGCTAAAGCAGTCTACCTTCATGTGCAAAATGAGAATGAGACCGAGAGATTCAGTGGGGAGCAAACATGAGCACAAAGAAAATCCCCTAATTATATTAAAGCCAATGTAATGATTTTTGTGACCTAGAACTTAACTTTCATGGAATGCTCTGCCATCTAAGTGTTCTCAAGGAATTGCACTCTAAGGGATGCTTTTCCACATTCCCCTCCCCTTCCCCACTCCAGGGGAAGGGTGAAGAACCTTCCTTAGCAGTTTCCAGAGGAATTGCATCTGATTACCTGGGGCTGGTTGAACATGTGCCTTCCAGGCTGGCCCCTCAGAAATATGTTTATAAGCTCCTCAAGGGATCCTGCAGGTGGCCCTTGCCCAGTGCAGTGAGGAGCACTGTCCAGTCTGAGTGTCCTGCCTCATTCTACAGAGCCCACCTGACCTCACTTTGGGTGAGGCCCCTGCTTACTCTGTCAACTACACTGTAACTATTAGTAGAGGCCTGAGGCCTCTCCACAGAACCCTGGGGCCACCTGCAAAGCTATTCAGTCTCGCTGAGGCTATGAATAGTTGATTACTAATGACTTTCTTTTGCTCCTCTCCTCAGGGGCCTGGAGATCCCTGAATCTTTGCAGTAGTTCTGGAAACCAGCAAGCCCACCCAGACCTCCAACTCTTGGGCTGTTTCCTTATTTGCAGAAGATAGAGAAACCCACAAGCAAATGATCTGCAGGATTCTTTCCTGGATGAGGATCTGTGGTCCTAACATCCTCTTAAATTATTGCATTTGGCTCTGAGCAGAATCTGAAAAGAGGAACTGAACAAGAAAAAAAATACCCTTTATATCATTCCTTAGACTTTTAAATAATTTCATCATCAGTTGCCTAATGACTGCTTTCTCTCTCTGGAATGTGTGCTTCCTAAAGGCAAGAACACACCAGGTGCTCAAGAACTATCTGGAATCCCAATCAATGGCATGGTGGGGAGATTAAACAAGGAGGGGTTTAATAAGTCTCACTCCCACCCCAAACCCAGAAGCACACTGGATTATTTCTAGAACAATCTGACAGCACAGTGACTGCTGCTGCTGGGCCCTATGTACATCTGTGCCCAACTCCACCACCCCTGACTTCATATTTCATACATTTGATTTAAGTGGGTTATGAACTCCCATTTTTACCCCGTATACAGATTGCAGAATCACATCGGTTACACATCCACGTTTTTACATATTGCCAAAATAGTGACTGTTGTATTCTGCTCTTTCCTATCCTCTACTATCCCCGCCTCCCCTCCCATCTTCTCTCTCTACCCCATCTACTGTAATTCATTTCTCTCCCTTGTTTTTTTAATTCCCCTTTCCCCTCACATCCTCTTGTATGTAATTTTGTATAACAATGAGGGTCTCTTTCCATTTCCATGCAATTTCCCTTTTCTCTCCTTTTCCCTCCCACCTCTCGTCCCTGTGTAATGTTAATCTTCTTCTCATGCTCTTCCTCCCTGCTCCGTTTTTAGTTGCTCTCCTTATATCAAAGAAGATTTTTGGCATTTGTTTTTTAGGGATTGGCTAGCTTCACTTAGCATAATCTGCTCTAATGCCATCCATTTCCCTGCAAATTCCATGATTTTGTCATTTTTTAGTGCTGAGTAATACTCCATTGTGTATAAATGCCACATTTTTAATCC